AAAGATGTGAAAGACCTCTACAAGGAAAACTATACACTTCTGAAGAAAGAGATTGAGGAAGACTATAGAAAGTGGAGAGATCTCCCATGCTCATGGATTGGTAGAATCAACATAGTAAAAATGTCTATACTCCCAAAAGTAATCTACATGTTTAATGCAATTCCCATCAAAATTCCAATGACATTCATAAAGAGATTGAAAAATCTACGTTAAATTTATATGGAAACACAGAGGCCACGAATAGCCAAGGCAATACTCAGTCAAAAGAAATGCTGGAGGTATCACAATACCTGACTTCAAACTATATTACAAAGCAATAACAATAAAAACAGCATGGTACTGGCACAAAAACAGACATGAAGACCAGTGGAACAGAATAGAGGACCAGATATGAAGCCACACAACTATAACAACTTGTCTTTGACAAAGGAGCTAAAAATATACGATGGAGAAATAGCAGCCTCTTCAACAAAAACTGCTGGGAAAACTGGTTAGCAGTCTGCAAAAAACTGAAACTAGATCCATGTTATCACCCTATACCAAGATTAACTCAAAATGGATCAAGGATCTTAATATCAGACCCAAACTCTAAAGTTGATACAGAAAGAGTAGGAAATACTCTGGAATTAGTAGGTATAGGTAAGAACTTTCTCAATGAAACCCCAGCAGCAAGCAACTAAGAGATAGCATAGATAAATGGGACCTAGAAAAAGACAGCCTCTTCAACAAAAAATGCTGGGAAAACTGGTTAGCAGTCTGCAAAAAACGAAACTAGATCCAAGGTATATCACCCTATACCAATATTAACTCAAAATGGATCAAGGGATCTTATATCAGACCCAAACTCTAAAGTTGGTATAGGAAAGAGTAGGAAATACTCTGGAATTAATAGTATAGGTAAGAAACTTTCTCAATGAAACCCCAGCAGACAGCAACTAAGAGATAGCATAGATAAATGGGACTTCATAAAACTAAAAGCTTCTGTCATCAAAAGAAATGGTCTCTAAACTGAAGAGACACCCACAGAGTGGGAGAAAATATTTCCAGCTACACTCAGACAAAGGACATAATAAAAATATATAGGGAACTTAAAAAACTAAATTCTCCCAAAACTAATGAACCAATAAAGTGGGCAAGTGAACTAAACAGAACTTCTCAAAAGAAGAAAATTCAAATGGCCAAAAAACACATGAAAAAATGCTCACCATCTCTAGCAATAAAGGAAATGCAAATTAAAACCACACTAAGATTCCACCCACCCCTGTTAGAATAGCCATCATCAGCAACACCACCAACAACAGGTGTGGCGAGGTGAGGGAGGAAAAAGGAACCCTCTTACACTGTTTGGTGGGAATGTAAAGCTAGTACAACCACTCTGGAAAAAAAATTTGGAGCTACTTAAAAAGCTAAATATGGCTCTTACCATTTGATCAGCAATACCACTCTTGGGGATATACCAAAAGACTGTGACACAGGTTACTCCAGAGGCACCTGCACACCATGTTTATTGCGGCACTATTCACAATAGCCAAGTTATGGAAACACCCAAGATGCCCACACTGACGAATGGATTAAGAAATGTGGTATTATACACAATGGAATTTTATGCAGCCATGAAGAAGAAAAATGTTATCATTCGCTGGTAAATGGATGGAATTGGAAACATCATTCTGAGGAGGTTAGCCTGGCCCAAAAACCAAAAATCGTATGTTCTCCCTCATATGTGGACATTAGATCAAGGGCAAACACAACAAGGGGATTGGACTATGATCACATGATAAAAGCGAGAGCACACAAGAAGGTGAGGATATGTAAGGACACCCAAAAAAACTAGATAGCATTTGTTGCCCTCAATGCAGAGAAACTAAAGCAGATACCTTAAAAGCAACTGAGGCCAATAGGAAAAGGGGACCAGGAAACTAGAGAAAAGTTAGATCAAAAGAATTAACCTAGAAGGTAACACCACACGCACAGGAATTAATGTGAGTCAACTCCCTGTATAAGCTATCCTTATCTCAACCAGCAAAAAACCCTTTTCCTTCCTATTATTGCTTACACTCGGCTCTTCAACAAAAATTAGAGATAAGGGCAAAATAGTTTCTGCTGGGTAGCGAGGGGGCAAGGGGGGTAAGGGTGGGGGTGGGGGAAGGGGGAGAAATGACCCAAACATTGTATGCACATAGGAATAAAATAAAAAGATTACATGGCTTCCCCCACACTTGCAGAAGGTGACTGAGAAAGCAGCAGAGAATAGCAAGGTCACAAGAAAATCAATCCCTCCAAGGCCAAGGTCCTAAAAAAAAAAAAAACACTCTTATTTCTCAGCACCAGGACTTTGGGATCTGTGCTTGGAGTATGAAAGGAGCCAGGATTAGCTGGGCACCTGGAGGGGGAAGGGCTCTGAGAGTTGTCCTAAGACATCTGGAGTTCTTACAACTCAAGGAAGTTTTCACCAGTACCTGGTGATCTGGCCTTTGTCTACCCCAACTTCATGCTCTTTTCTCCAGCACAGAACTCCGATGTCCAGGAGCACAGAACTGCTCATCAATAATACTGCAATGCTTCTTCTCTCACCTATTCTCTCCTCAGCTTCCCTGACTGAAGTCAGCCCCAGTCTCCATACTCCTCACATGCCTAACCCAACTGTAATGAGAAAACTTAGTTTTCTCAAGATTTTCCTTAGACACCTCCTTCACGTTGCAAAGATCCTTGCCTGCCCCCCAACTCCTGCCAATCCTGGCTCAGTGCCTCTCCTTCTGTGTACCCCACACCTGGGTATGTGCCTACTTTAGCACCTACCACACTGGTGGGCATCCTGGCTCTAGGCTTCCTCACCCATGAGCCCTCTGGCAGCAGGACTCATCTCCACACTCATCTTGCTGCTGGTACAAATGGCACGCACTTCAGGCATCTGGGATTCACACAATCATGACTATAAATGACAGGAACTTGGGACACCCAAGTTCTGGTGTGTGATGAAAAACATTGTCTGATAATAAAGATTTAGTTTAGTGGAAAGTGGGATTCTGGGAAATGTTGTGTGGAAGATGGGATGGAAGATGCCTGGCCAGCTGCCATCCTCCAAGCACTGCTGTCTCCACTGCACAGTTCCCTCTCCCCCCTGCTGGCGCTGCTTCTGCTTTTTGCCCTTCTGCACTAAGAAAATGAAGCATCATAACTCCACAACTATAGGGTTACTGTTCTCCAGGGGTGCCAGAGCTATTTCTTCATTCAAAGGGAAGAAGGGAACCTTTGTCAAGGAGTGGGAAATGGGTGGACACCCTGGAAAAAGCTCTGTAAAAGATAGCCAGATGATCTTCACTCTGTGTAATTCAAAAAGGATCCACAGAGAACATGAGGAAGGTGAGAACACAGTTCCTCTCCACATGGTTTCTCAAGGCACTGGAATCTTCCTAGAATAAAAATACCCTAACATACGAGGAAAATGTTAAATAAGGAGAAAGAGAGAGAGCAAGAGAGAGAGAGAAGATAAGGACACCATTCCCACCGGAAAAAAATGTGTCCCTCAAAACAAGGCGTTATGTTTGGTGATGTGTACTCACGAGTTCTATCTTTAAAAATACAGTCTAGTAGACTAAGTACAATATGGGTAAATATGGATGATGCTAGGTTTGTTGATCAGTTACAGATTTTCAAGGGGAAGATGAATATACTACATAAAAGACCGAAAAGAGGTAGAAATGAAGGCTATTGTGGCTCAGAGGAAAAGATGTGAAAAAACAGTATGAGTAATATTACATGCAGTAAATAACCAACAATTCTTACCTGAGGATAATGAAATGGAAAGGGGGGTAGGCTTTAAAAGACTTCAATCACTGCTTTCCCTTTTAACTTAGCTAAGAGAAAATTCAAAGTGAATTTATCCCATGCTTGCATAGATGAATAGTTGGAGAGGGGACAATAATTTGGATTTAAAATAAAACAAAATAAACAAAAACTCTAACACCCAAAGAAGAAAGTCAATAGTTGGATGGATTTGTTGGATGTATGAGATTCAGGAAGCTGGATCCCAGTCTTCATTATTGAGAAAATGATGCTAAATCCAAGCCCTCAAAAAGACAGGCATATTAATTATAAATCACTAAATACAGAGGTGTCCTGTTTGCAATCATCTATCAAGCACATTAAGCCCAATGAAAGAGGAAATGGAACATTAGAGGCAAGCTTCTTAAAGCACAATTTCCTAGAAGAGAAATTTATGACCTGTACTTATTCTCCATTAGAGGACGTCTAACCCCTTTTATTAGTTTATTCATCAACACAGTCCTGGTTTCAGGCCAGCTCTGCAAACTGGCAGGTCATCAGGCAGGGGATCCTCTGGGGAATTTTGCTCCTGGTCCAGTTGTGTTTTCCAGATCATAACACGGTTAACAGAAGTAGTCATGGAGCATTCGACTGAAGGTTTTTAGGGTTTCCCCAAAAGGCAATTCACAGAGCAAGCCCCAAGGGCTCTATGGATATAAAGTGAACATCTAAAATGTGCTTAGAAATGAAATGATTTTCTGTTTGCCGTATGAGGTTTGTGATTGCCTCTCAAACAGCATTGCTTCTCTTGCCTTTATGACCAAGTTCAATTTCTTATTTAGTGGTGTAATAAAGGGGCAATTTAGGAGCTGGCAGCAAGGACTTCCCAATCAATGAGCAAATCCATCCTTCATCCACTGTGCACCACTCACACGATGCCAAGGCTCATCTCTGGGCAACCCCACTGGATACCTGGATGTCAGTCATGTGTCCCCCAAAACTGTCCTTATGTCCCCACATACATAGTGTGTCTCTCTTTTTCCCATACAATCCTCTGGCCTTGCAAAAGAAAGCTACACAAGCCCTACTCTGGGTTTCTTTGGCTCTGTGTTAGATCATGCTTTCTGTGAATAGCATGACACTATAATTACACTGTGATGTAAGCAAACCATATGATATTTACAACTTGACAATGGGGACCAGAATGGGGAAAAAAAGGAGAAAGAACATCTTACCTTGTTTTAAGGATATTCAGAAACTGCAAAATTTCTGAAAACTGTATCAGTCTGAGAGCTCTTAAAAATCTCAAACCTGGAAAGAGAAATGAAACAGAAATGCATTATTTTCAATATGTGTTTTTTAATGTTCTCAGTCTGCCAGTTGAATTACAATTGAAGGATTGAAGGAATTAGAAGTCCTTGCAAAGATAAAGGACCCCAGTACCTTGGACACATTCCTTCATTCTGATTCTTGACTGGTTTATGCTCAGTCAGTAAGCTGACTTTCTTATTCCAAGTGATCTGTTTGGAACCATTTAAGGGGAAGTGCTGGGGGGGAGACCCAGGTTAAGGAGGCTTGCCTCCCCTTTAGTGAGCTCTGATTTAAGCACTGTTTCTCAGTTATCCTGTGGTCTGGCAGAATTTTATCTCTGAAGAATCCTGGGCATTATGACCGCTCAGGTTGGCCCTTGTGCTAAGAGCAGATTAACAATAAATCGGATAACCTTATCCGATGTCTTTGGTGGAATTTTTTAATCTTTATTTTCAGCCCTATAAAATGAAGAACGCCCATAATGTTAGCTGTTTTGTGCAATATTTTATATTTTTCTCCGAGTCAAAAAAGAAAAAAATAAACCCAGAGCAGTAATCTATCACACTCTATAAGTAAAGGATTTAAAACTTAAATAATTCCATTTTTACTAATGTCAGAATGAATGTTTGTCCTTCCTAAATCCACAGCCTCTCTTGAATGGAACAGTTTGTGTTTCTAGGTGGTAGAAGAGAGCAAGGCAGGTAAGGAAAACACAATCAAGGAGTTTTTAAAAGTACAAAGTATTGCTGTGTTTTAATATCCAAGAGTAAACTCATTTTCTGTTTATGTCAGTCATTAATCAAAAACATTCTGAGTCAATGACAGGTCTTAACGCCTTGAACACCATGCAGGAGAATTACTTACAAAATGCTGACTACCCCAACTTTGAGTCACACTGAATACCATACTCACTCCCAACAGGACATCCTTTTCGAAAGCATTTTATGAACCGCCCCATGGACTGAGTTACACACCTGGGGGTAAACTATTCTGTCCTGTCATGGGAGGTGGTGGCAGAGTCTGCTAGTAGAAAGAAGTGGTGAGAATTAACTACAGACTCCAGGTGAAAGCCGGGTTACCCTCTGCTGAAATGAAGAGAACTCTAACTGGACCAGAGTGGAAGTATTTTGGTAATAAGGAAATATTAACTTAAAGCCCGAGGTAGGGCATCTGACAGTATAAAGGAAGAGGAAAGGGTTGGGGGCGTAGCTCAAGAAGTAGAGCACCTGCCTAGCAAGTGCAAGGCCCTGCATTCCACTCCCAGTACCACTCCCGAAAAACAAAAGTTGTTAGGAAGAAGGAGAAAATGATGGTTACTTAAAAGGATCAGAAAAGGATTCACCTTCACTAACAGAAGATTTCTTTTTCAGAAAACAATTGTCTTTTAGGATAAATAATATTTGTATAATTTTATTACAACCAGAAAATGCAGAGATGAGAAGGGATGCTGATGAAATGGAAAAGGCTCAGAAGCCAAAGACATATCATAGCCAAACTGATGAAAGGCTGATTAACTCTCCTGAAAACTGAAAGTGAGCAGAGTACAAAATTGAGAAGTAATCTCAGAAAGCAGAGAAAATAAGGAAAAGAAAATAAAAAGAGATGAAATTTAAGAAAACAGAGATAGAGCTGAGATCACAGAGCTCCAACCTTTGTAAAAAACATGTTCCAAAGGAACTTACAAACAACAGCTAGCTCATCCACAGAGGCCAGAACATAACAGAAAAGCCCTTTCCCGAAATGAAAAAAATGATTCAAGATAAAAGGTAGAATGAATGACTAGTTCTTAAAGACCAGTGCCAAGAAGTATCTGGCTTTTTTCCCCCAAAATTTCAAATATTAAATTCAGTTAAACAGTAAAAATAAGCATCCATGTTAGGGGCAGTATTTACCAGTAAGGCAACTAAAACCATTTTATTTGGTTTTACATAATAAACTAACACTTATTTTACACAATAAGTGTTAAATAACATTAGGGTTTGGATCTTAACCATCCCCCAAAGTTCATGTAGTAAGGTTTGGTTGTCAGTTTGTGACACTATTGGGAGTTGGTGAACCTTTAAGATGAGGAGCCTAGTGGAAGACAGTCAGGTCATTGGAGGTGCGCCCTTGAAGGGGATGTTGGGACTTCAGCATCTATCTTCTCTCTCTCTCTCTCTCTCTCTCTCTCTCTCTGTATCCATTCCCAACCACCATGAAGTGAACAGCTTTCTTCCACCACACACTCCCTACCATAATACTCAGTCTTGCCACAGGCCCAAAGCAACAGGGCCAAATAGCCACAAATAGTCATGAATTGAGACTTCTGTGTGAGCCAAAATTCATTTTTATCCCTTATAAGTTTTTGTCACAGGTCACAGTGATATTTGTGAATCATTTATTTTGTCAGAGCCATGAAAAGCTGACCAATACAAATACAATTTAGGAAATAGAGTTTTCAGACAGAATCTGACCTAAGATTTTTTTTCTCTGCACAGCTGGGGATCAAACAATGGCCATTCCTCCCACACACGGTGAGGCCCCTGGCACTGCAGCCAGTAACTCCAGGTTATAAAGAGGCCAAGAAAAGGGAGAGGTGGGTAGGGAAACTCCTAAATGACAGGCTACTCATCTTCTATGCTTTATAATACTTTTTTTCTTATTGTTTGTTCCATAAAATCTGACATAGGATTGTTTTCTTGGGAAATATAGTTATAACAGTTGTGAAGAAGGAAATACGTATGTTCCAATGCCATGAATTACAAAAAGATACAGGGCAAAGATGATTTTATAAGTGAGTTCCTTCGGCAGGTTGTCCGGGTCCAGAGGATTCCACCTACCTTTACTTTTACTGAGGCTTCACGTGAGAAGGTTCGCCAGGTAGGCTATTCCATGAAATGTACGGGTTTCAAGATCAAAGGCCAAAGACCAGATAGGACAGAATAAGAGAATTCACTGGCAGCACATCTGCACTATGAGAAGGATTAAAGGAACTTCATCAGGGAGGAGGAAAATGACACCTGATGGCAATTCAGATCTGCACAGGAACAAAGCAGGCTATCCAGAGTAAAGTATAGAAGACTTTCCCTCCATGCTTTAAATTTCTTTAATGATGATTGATTAAAGGAAAAGCAATATATTATAGAATATATGACAAAAATAGGATAAAGAATGGAAAATGAAAGTGATAGAAATATACAATTGTAGCATCCCTAAGCTGTATGTGAGATGATTTAATGTTATTTGAAGATACACAATGAGTTTATGGTGTACATTGTAACCTACAGACCAAGCAGAAAAAAGGCAGAGGAGCATACGTAAATAAGCCAAAATGAATATAAAATGGATGATTAAAAATACTGAATCCAAAAATGGCAAAGAGAATATATAACAGGTGGATAAGACAAAAAACAGATGAAAAGATGGAATATTTAAATGTGATGACACAGCAAAGATATGAATGATCTAAACACAATAGTTAAAAAGCAAATATTTTCATACTGAAAAAACAAGTTAGAGAGCTACAGCCTCGCTTCAAGAACCCGTTTCATGTATAAAGTCACAGATAGGTTAAATGTGAAAGGCTAGAAACGATGTCCCATGCAAAGGTAACATGGAATGGCTTTATTATTATCACACAGAGTAAATGGCAGAGGAAAAAACAGTCAGATTATATGAGATAAAGAGGACACTTGATAACACTGAAAAGATCAATTTGTCAAGTGACTGCAACAAACTAAATGCAAATGGACCCATTTTCAGGACTTCACAGCACACAAACTAAAAACTAGTAGAAGTGAAAGGAAAAATAGACAAATTCACAATTGCAGTTGGAGATTTTCATACTCCTTTCTCAGAATTGTTAAGTAGAAATTGGTAATTCTCTAAATACTTGACAATGCCATTTAACCAACTTAGAGAACAGTCCACCCAATGGTGGGGTGGAAAATTCTTTTAAAGGTCACAGAGATCATTCATGATGATTGTTAATCTAGAGTCAAATTCTGGATCATAAAACAAGTCTCAATACATTTGGAAGGAAAGAAACCATACAGACTGGGTTGAATTGAACAAAGTAAAGTATACTCACAGCTGGTTACATCAGGAAACCCCTTTGAACATTGACTTTGGAATTCAAAATTAAAGATAGGATTGTAAAATAGATACAGTGTGGGGTAGATACTTGTGGGATAGGGGAGAGTGAATGAAGGATGTGAAGGTGAGGGAATATGGTTGATGGGCTTCATTACATACATGAAATAGAACGATGAAACCTCTTGCAAGTGATTTGAGTAGGGAGAGAGGGTGGGGGAGATGGTGAGAGCGGTCTAAGCAATGTACAATGTAAGGCTGTTAGGAATTAACACAATGATTCCCCTCTGTACAATGATATATCCTAATAAAGTGAAAACAAGAAGAACATATGAAAGGTAGAATAATGAAAAGGAAAGTCTCTCTTCAGCATTTCAAGGAAGTACCAATGGAACCAGTCTGATGGCAGCAGAGCAATTGTGTTGTGGTGCAAGGGGAATTAACACTGGTGTGATAGGTGTGAATAAACTGACTTGTCTGCAATGAAATCTACGTGCAGATTCAGTAATAAAAAATAGTAACTTCTTCGCCCCCCCCAATAGTATTTTTCTTAGGCTCTATCTGTGAGGGTTCCTAGGTGAGCTTTAGGACATCTGAGATGTCCCTGTCCATTTTATGAAAGACAATGCCTACTCCTGGCCAAGGTCTGGCCAGTACCATATAAATCTCCCCTGTGGGCGGGGTAAACTGCACATTAACCAACACCCCCCTCCCCAGCTCCGCAGTGGTCTGCTCTGGTGTCAGTGTTCTAGGCAGAACTTTGAGTGTTTGTTGTCTTTCGAGGCTCAGCCTGGCCTTGGCAACCGCCAAAGCAGCCTTGAAGCTATGGATGTGCCCAAAGCTGTCCCTCTAATACACTTGGGGCTGGTCCTGCAGGAATTTGGCAGGGTTATGACAACAGACCCTGCAGAACTGAGGCAAAAGCCCCATGATTTTCCATGGGAACTA